AAGAAGGAAATGTTCTACATGCGCTTCGAAGAGCGCTTCGCACTTGAAAAAGACGCCGATGGGAGCGGCGCTCAGCTTCCTGGGCCAGAACAGCTCCACGCTGATCAACGCGAAGTGTGAATAGCTCGGCGGAGGCAGGCGGCTCTGGCGGGACTGCCCGGAGCTGCGGGAGCTTGCCCGGCAGTTCGGCTGCGACTGAGGCAGAGTCACGGGGTTCAGGCCCCAGGAGAAGGGGCGTGGCGTGTGGTTGGCCTGCGCCTGGACTCGGAAACGATGCTTGCAGGGCTGCCGGAAGTGCTGCTGCCAGAGCGCAGCGTAAAGTGCTGAGGCTGCGTGGCGTCGTTCATGCCGTTGGCGGACCGGACGTCCTGCGCGGCTGCGTCCTCGCTGCCCTGCTGAGGCCGGAAGAAGGCTGCGCCAGCCCCACCGTTGCCGCTGCGCCGACTCCTGCGTGGCAACGTCCCAGCAACCTCGCCCGCGGTGGGTGACAGGGCAGCAGCCCCCTCAGCCAAAGCCACCCAGGCACCCACGCCCTTGGCGGCAACAGCAACCTCTCCTCCGCAGCCACGGCAGCCGTCTCCTCGATGGCCTGTGCTGCGCCACGCTCCACCTCCTGCGCGCTGCTCGTCGGGATCTGCGGAGGCGGCTGTGGCTGCGGCCCTGGGCGGTCACGTTCAGGCGCACGTACTCTGCTGCGTCCTGGGGGAGCTGGGAGCGGAAGGCCTGCGGAGCCCTGCTGCTCCTGCGCCCACGAGGTCTGCCGCCTGCGCTCTGTCAGCCGCGCTGCACAAACGACCCGTGATGGAGGGCGGGCCCTGACCGTTGTTTGCCAGGGCGCCGGCCTCGGGGTCTCCTGCCAGGTCGTCCTCGACGATGCGGGTTCCTCCATAGCCTTGGTACATCCGGGCAAGTGGCACATCCTCGTCCGTGGCCTCTGCGGGAGTGCGGAAGCCTTCCGCGGGAATTGCTCGCAGGGGCGTGGGTTGGGGTCCTCGCTGGACTGCACGAAGTCGTCCAGGTAGAAGTGGCTCGTGACGAACGAGGTGGCCTTGCGGTCCGGCTGGTCCAGGGGCAAGGGCTCCCCCCGCTCGATGTAGCCCACAACCTGCGCTGGTTGAAGCCGTGGGACCGAAGCGTCTTCATCTCTTTATGGGTTACTGCGCGGCAACTTCCCCTGCAGCCTGTTTGACGCCCCAGCGCTCGGCGCGCGCGTAGCGCAGCTGGGGGACCTGTCGGTGCACGGCCTCCGTCAGCCGGCTCACGTCGTCCAGGTGCCGCTGCCCCTCCTGGGCCAGCCTGCGCTCCCCAGCCAGTTGTTGAAGGCCCGCGCCTCCTCCAGTTCCCGCTCACCAAAGCATCTGCGGCTTGTTGCGGGGCTCTGTGGACATCGTCTTGCTTTTATACTAGTACGCTTGCGCCTGCCGTCAGCCGGTCATAGGCCGACTGCCTCTCCAGCATGCGCATGGCGCGCTCGCTCGGCCGAGGCGCTTCCTCGAGCTCGTTGCGTACCTCGGGCTGTACCTCGGACTCGGGCCGTACCTCGGGCTCTAACTGTGCCTCGGGCTCGGGCGCTGCCTTGGGCTGCCTTCAGCTTGGGCGCTGCCTTGGGCTTGGGCGCTGCCTTGGGCATGGGCTGCCTTCTGCCTTGGCCATGGGTGCCTTGGTCATGTTCTTGGGCCAGAAGGGTATTTCGTGCACTGGCTCTGTGGGCAGGTCTGGGGGCCCTCTCAGCCTCTTGGGTATGGGTGGGGAGCCGTAATAGTATGCCGGTCAGTGGGTAGGTCTGGGATGGTTTTTTTGCTCCTTGGCTGGGGCGGCTCGGGCGGTTTGGGCTTGTTCTTGCTGCCCGGGGGCCTGCCTCTTGGCCTTGGCGCCGGTTGCGCTTGCTTCATCGGGTTTTTAATAGGAAATATTTTTTTTAAAAGACCTTCGGGGGATTAGACGTGATCCAAAAACAGCACGAACGACAAGGATGAGCCCCTCAGTCGACTTGCCCCTCCAGGTCTGTCAATCGAAAGCGCATGTGCCTCAGGGTGACGGGGCCCCTCAGGGCCATGAAGTGCCCATCGTCGGAGCCTGTCTCCACAATGGTGCCCACGCCGCTCTTCAGCGTTTGCCCAACACACGGCTAGCGTTGGCCAGCTGGGCGCAGCGCAGGTAGACCTCGCCGTATGCCATCAGGGGCTCGCATCCCGCCGCGACCGGGCAACCTTTGCCCATTAATGAACCAATATTGTTTCAAGCCGTTTCAATATTGACTCAAACTTGCCAAGATTTTCGAGCCCTCTGGAAGTCCCTCTGCGCGTTCGGCAGGCTGGCGCGTTATACCCGGTGACAAGTTCGGCAGGTTGTCGGAGGACCTCTGGGCGTTCGGCAGACGCGTTAGACCAGGTGACAAAGGCGGCGACAAGTTCGGCAGGTTGCCGTGTCACGAGCAAGGACCTCGGCAGGCTGTCGTGCTTGGGCGAAAAAACGGGAAATCCTGTGAAGAACGAAGTCTTCGGGAACTCGGGAACTTGGCCGCTTTTGCGCACTTTTTCGGTCCAAAAGAGAGCGGTGACGAAGCGGTGACAAGTGGTGACAAGCTCAGCGGGATGGAACTTGCCAGCTTTTCCGGGCAGAAAGCGGAATCGAGAGCAGAGTGAGCGTCTGGAGCCTGTTTTCGACCGAAACCGAGCGAATCTAGAGGCTGAGGCACCCCACTTGCCGTCTGACAGGAAAACACGAACTTTTCGGAGTTGGCCGTTTTGATTGAGCACTTTTTCGACCAAAAACGGAGCGGTGACAAAGACCGGTGACATCGGAAAAACGTTCAGCAGGATGGAGAATTTGGCTGTTTTGCAGGGTTTTTCGACCCAAAACCGAAAATAATTAGGTTACTATAGGCCTATGTTCCTTACTACTCGCGTCGCATGTTTCTCTTGGCATCTGTGCGCCGGCGCTTGCGCTGCAACTCCGGCAGAGCATGCGCCGCCCCATGGCAGGAAAAACAAGCCCCTCAAGGGAACTGTCTGAGCTTTTGGACGAGCTCCAGCAGCGCAGGGCCAACCTGCGCACTGTTCGCAAAATTCGTATGATTCGCATGATTCGTGCAATCCGTATGTTTGTGTAAGATGCAAAAATTGCACAAATCGCACGAACAATGCAAACTGCGGTTTACGCGGCTCAAACGGACACGGATTCTGCGCGTTGTCGAATGCGGAAATGCTGGATAAGGCCAAACGTCCACAAATGCACTGTGGGGGGGCAGGCCAGGTTGAACAAGGTTGGGCACTTTGGGCAAGCCAGTGCAAAGGGTCGTTGGGCGAGCCGGTGTCAAACAAGGTTGGGCAAGCCAGTACCAAGGTTGTTGGGCAAGTCAGTGTCAAAGGAGGGTCGTTGGGCGATCCAGTATCACTCCTACGTGCCGGCTCGGCACTGTGCTCGCCCTAAAGTGCCCGCTCGGCAATTACATCGACAACACAAACAGCGCGGACAAACGTTTGGAAACTCAAAGTTCTTTTTCGATTTCTGATCTGCCCGCGACCTTCTGCAGGGATCGGCGCGGTTGAGATGCAAAACTCGAGGTGTTTGTTTTCGATATCTGCCCGCGCAACCCTCTGCGGGGATGGTTCGGAAATATGCAAACGCGCGAGAAAGTGAGCGCGTGCAAAAGAAAGAAAACCAACGTGGGTGCTTGGAGCGTTCACTTGCAGTGTCCTGAAGTTCGCTTTTGAAAAGCGACCGCGCGACTTTCTTGGGGAGGCAAATAGTTGGAGAAGTCGTGACAGTTTTGGTGCAGGGGGGTGCTTGTGGAGCTGGACGCCAGTTGAATCGAACGCAAACCAACTGTTTTCGCGTTATGTGGCACATGTTTCGTTTTCTTCGTGTTTTGGAACAGAAAAGACACCAAAAAGAAACGCAGACCTTTGCTTGAGGTCGTGCGTGTGGCTGGAGCGGCGCGTCGATGGCACCGAAAGAAGAAGAATCAATTCTTGGATGCTATTTTGCGTCTGTTTGCAGGTTGGCCGCGGCTGATTGATTTGCGGTCCGATTACAGTTTGGGCGCCGTGGGTGTAGGTGGCTGATTGGAAGTGAAGGGTTTCGTTTCGTTCGCAGGTGTTTAGAATCGCAGGCGTTGGGGCGCGTTTCGTGCTTGAAGGAAGCCGGAGATTCAATCGCTTGATATTCCCAGGTTTGCTTCTTTCCTCTTCGCTGGCGAAGCCCGCGCTAGCGCGCCCCTCTTCTCTCTAAACACTCTCTTCTATTCATATTTAAATCCTAATCGATTTGACCCAACGAGTCTGGCTCTATTGGGCACGGGGTGACCAAGCGCACACACAAAGCTCCCCGGCCACCAGATCCTCCAAGCTTGCGCTTGAGCTTGGCGCCCGCACCATGCCCGCTGCCATGTCCCTCGCATCTTGTTTGTTGTACTTTCAAGTTTGGACATTGGCTTGTTCATGGACATCATAACAATCATTGAGTGTAGCTATAGATTGGACGGGTTTTAACATTTGGATGCAATACTAATCTAGAAGAATTTATGAAGTTGCTCTTAATCGTTGAATTAATCTTAAGGCTATACAATAGGAATCTAATGAGGAAATTGTGATGTCTTGTTTGATGTGTATAGCTTACAATCAGTAGCTATGGGGTATACGGTATGGGGTGAGGGTTGGTTGATTGATATTGGTTGATTGACGTTGGTGTGCACCCATGTTCCAATTTCAGCCCTGTGGGACGGGGGCATTTTCAAAGTGGTTGGGCAGTATGGTGCTTGCTTAATATTTGTTTTGGGCAGCCATCCACTGCTGAATGGTTGCAGCATCATTACATGAGACTAGACAAACAACAAACGTCAACAACACCTGCAAACACAGTGCTTGAGCCAATCATGGATGAATGGACCGTTTTTGGACAACAAGCATTCAATTTTGGCCCGGCAATCGCACTGCATTGGCAGACTGCAAACGACCGCAACACAAAACAGAAAACACACAATCGGAAGTTGCTCCCAGGCGAGCGTTTGCCGGTCAAGTAGGTCTGAGCTCTTTGTTTGCCCGATGCCCAAGTCGAAGCTCCAATGGCGGGCATTTGACGAGGATTCTCCTCCGCCGGTGGCAGAGGCCGAGACTTCGCCGGGTGTCTCCTTAGATGCAGCCCTGGCCGGCTTTGGGGTGAGCCGGAAGGCCTGCCGGCAGTTGCGAGCAGAACTGAGGCTCGAGGAGGACGCTAAGCGGCATCTGAGCTATTGACTTGGCGGGTTTTGAACATGTTGCTACAAGCAAAACACTTTTGAGTTCGAACTTGGGTCGATATGAGAAATACTTGGATCAACCATTCTTTAGGTTGCTCTTCATTCAAAAGTCAGAGTCAGCTTGTCACTCTGAGTGGTTTGACAAAACATGATTCAACAGTGGTGCATGTGCAAGGGAGCAAAATTGTCACATATGCCGGCCACAAGTTCAGAACAACAATACTCGGCGGAAAATGTGTGTGGCAGACCACCGATTTGAAGTCATATGAAGGACACCTGTGCTCGCAAAGTGTTTGCTTGATGCACCTTACAGGTCATGACCTGCGGGTTTTCCCATGACCTATGGACAGAGATCCCATGACGTGTCCAATGGAGAGACCTCGCAGTCTGATTTTTTCATCCGTTGGGTTCCCGGTTGCCCGAGCCTCAAGAAGTGCAGCATCAAAACGTCTGATGCAGAAATCCGCGAGAAAGGCAAGATGTGCACCGGTTTACTTGGGGCTGGTAGCATGTAAAACCCACCTTTTGTTCCACTGTTCACTAAATTATGGCCCAGAAACAGGTTCAAGTGTTTGGTGAGCTGTAGGTGGCAAAAACCCCAATCTACATCCTGGGTTTTCCGAACCAAAGGGCTTTTCCTCAACCAACCCCAACAACTTGGTCAAAATAGGATAGGCCGAGCCTGGGCATGTGTCAAAATCGGCCTTCCAAAAGGGCTTTTGGTGTACCCAACCAAATCCAAAGGTTTCCCTTGAGAGAACCCCGAACCAAAGAGTTGGGTCACTGTGTCAAAATCGGCCTTTTGGTTTCCTGAAACTCCAGAGTAAATCCAGAGGGCTTTTCCTGAACCAAACCCCGTAGGACAGCTTTCAGTGCCTGCATCACCTCTGGCGCCTCGACGCGCGCCGGGTGGAGTCGGCGTTGCGGCGCCTGCCTGGCGCCGAGGCGATCCTGCAGCTGCTGGAGTCGGAGGAGCCGACGCCAGGCGAGCTCCGAAAAGCAAGGGGGGTTTGTTTTTATGTATCCAAGTCAGTTGTTGGTTTGTTTTTAGGTTTTAGTTGTTTATTTGTGCATTATTTGCTTATTTTTCTTCTTCATATTTTTCTATTCAGTTGTTTATGTGTTTATGGTTTGTATTTGTTTATTTTGTTGTTGTTCATTTGTGTATCACTGTATTACTTACTTTTTTCCTTTCTCTTTTTTCTATTCAGTTGTTCATGCGTCTATTTCTTGTTTGTTTGTTTGTCTGTTTACATCCAACAGATGAATCGTCGAGTCTTTGTTCGTAGAAGGAACACTATTTCATCCAGAGCGGATAGTTTTCCCTCAACTTTGGGATACTCTCGGGAAAAGTTAGAGGGGGGAAGCCTCATCCGATTTTTTCAGGTGAAATGGGCGGCTCGAGAACAGAGTGCGGAATCTCAGAAGTGGCAGAAGCCGCTCCGGAGAGTGCATCACCCGTGGGCTTGGAAGAGGTGCGGGGGGGGGGGGGTTGTGCGAATTTGATATGTGTGTGTCTGTGTTTCCCCGCGCTGTGTGTGGGGCCGGAAGCTTCCGGTAGGCTCAGGGGTGCCACCACACGATTTGGTCGCGTGTGGTCACTGGTGCCCGTTTCTCTTCCCTTGCCGTGTACCTTTGGCCTTTGTTCCCTTTGTTGGCCTTGCGGTGGCTGTCGCTGCCGCTGCTTCTGCCGTTGCGGCTGCTACTGCTGCTGCCGCTGCTGTTGCCTTGCCGTTGTTGCTGCTTCTGTTGTTGTTGCTGCTGCAGTGTTTTGAGCCTCCGGCTCTTTCCGCCGACCTTGAGGTACCCATCTTCGAGGTGACATACCTGGGCATGTTCTTTCCCGGCCTTGCTAGGCGAGTGCCTGGCGGATGCTCTGTTTCTCCCGCGGTTTCTCCTCCCCTGGCGGTTTTGTGCTTTTTGTTCTTTTCTGCGGGTGTGCCAGCCCATGGAGTGGCGCTCGCCCGTGGGGTGCTCCCCAATTGTTTTGCGGTTTTGTTTTGTGCAGAGGTGCTCCCCAACTGTTTTGCGGGCATGCTCACTGGTGCTCTATGAGGTGCTCCCAGATTGTTTCGCGAGCTTGCTCGTTCATGGGCGCTCCGCTAGCTTCTCTTAAAGGATCTTAGGCACCGCCGCACCGCGTCGCGATCGGAAGACGCGTTGCTGTGTCCCAGGCGCCCGCAAGCGCCCGCAAGCATTTGCAAGCATCCCCACCATCCACTCAACAATATTCCATTTCTTGGTTCTCATGATTCTTATACTTATGCTTTTTAGGGTGTTGACATTCCCAGCATCACCTGTAGAATATGACACCGCCCAGCCTAGGAGCCAGGGTCGGTAGCGGCAGCATCGCCGCGTTAATTTTTTTTGGGGATTTTGAAGGCCATTCCTACAACATGTTTTTCTCGAAAGGGTTCCAATGTTTGGAGCTTCCATGCGGTTTTGCGCTCCTTTTGCCAAGGCCAAGACCAAAGAAACTTTGACGTCAACTTTCAATCACTGAGGGAGACAGGCGCGTGCAGAGTAGCTGAAACATCTTGAATTTGAGTTTGTTCGAATCACTAACTTTTTTTTGGGGCATTTCGTCGAGTCGAACTACTTGACAAGTTGCTTGTTTCACTGAATTTCATGGCGTGGCCAGGTGAATGGCAGACTTGCAGAAACTAGGATGCAACTAGGATTGAGAACAAGGCGCTCCACGTTTCCACTATAAAGCAGCAGTTCGCAGCAACTAGGACTACAACAAGGCGCCCCATGTTTCTTCCATTTGCCCATTTGCCCATTTATATTTTATCCGCGTTTGCATCCTTATGTCCAGATTTGCATTTGCCCCATAGATATACATATGTTACTCATCACCATTTGCCTCATATACTACTAGACCTCCAATTATGCCCACATTCCTTATTTTCCCAGGGTTTTGAGCATGAGACACGGGTTGAGTTTCGCAAAAGCGCCTTCGTTTGAAAACACACACGCGCTGGTGAAAGCTGCCAATTTTGTTCCGCGTGCTAGGCTCTTCCTGTAAGAGCTGGACTTTCGGAGGCACAAGTGGTGTGCTGTCGGGAAGTCGGGAAGGCCATACTTTCTTGCTGGTTTTGGTCCTGGTAGATGCAGAGACATTGTGAACCAGCCGTGAACCAATCCTTTCCTTTTGAAAGTTTCCTTTTTGGCTCAAAGCCGAATAGCCGCAATGCAGGCGAGGACTGTCATGCGCAAGTGTTTGCGGGCGCTCTCGATTATGAGCGTCTTTTCTGGTACCACGGGCTCCCCCCTTTTTGCCGGGCAATGATCATATGGAATCTCGGACCGAGAAGGGTTGGTGAGGGAATGGCCATGACCCAGTGTGAGGTTCTGTTGGGGAGGGCACGTTTACACTGGCAAATTTGGCGGCGCCAGGTGCGCAGTGCTTTGCCCCGCATGCTTCCTGGAACCACCGCGCTGGCCGGGCGGTCGTTGAGCGTCAAACTCTCGATGCCCATTGGTTCTACGTCTCCAGGTTTCTGCTTGTGTATGTTGGGACGGCCATCAGACTTGGAGCACGGGCGAGCCGGGCACGGAATGGGCAGGTCTTCCATCTGCCCCCAAAAATTGGCGGCTCAACCTTCAGGGATCCCAACTCCCAGTGGTTTTTTCGATCCGTGTCTCTTTCAGAGACGCTCCCTTCTGGATTTCTGTAAGGGAAGCACACAACTACTCCAAAAGAAACACTTCCCCAAACACCAAAAGTTGGCCAACTGGTTTCAATTGGAAACCAACCATTGGGTGTTTTCGAGTTTTGGGTTTGTCTCCACAAGAAATAGCAAACATCAGCCCTCCTTCTCCCCCTGTCACCCCCCCACGCCCCCACCCACCCACCTACCCCCACCCAGCTTGTGGCAACCAATCTTCGGGCACAATCAAAACCCGGGTAGATGAAGGCTAGCAAGGGACAATCCCTGCTCCCTCCCACCCCCACCCCCCCTCCACCCCACCCAAGCGCCCCGGCCAGGGCCGCGAGGAGCGCAGCCGGGCGCTGCGGCGGCGGCTGAAGGCGGAGCTTCCGCCGGCGCCGCAGGCGGCGCTGAAGGCGGCGGCAGCGAAGCTGCGGGAGGAAGGCGCGGCGAGGGGAGGCGTGAGGCGTGCGAGCCGCGGCGCCGTTTTTTGTTTTGTTTTTTGTTTTGTTTCCTTTCTCTGTAAAAGTACATACGTATTTAAAATTATTGTTTTTTTGGGGGAATATTTGTTTTAATCTTTGGGGACCGGAAGCGTAAGTTTGGAATTTCGGCTCAGAAACAAGCGTGCCTTACGTTTTGGTCACCGCAAAGTAAGCAGGGAGTCTGAACAGAAATGCGATCCAGCTGTCCCACCATGTTCGCGGAAGCTTGAATAATTTGATAAAAAATGCTTTCATGGATCCAGAAAATAGAAAGGAAAGCGAGTCAATGTGATGGCCTGCCTTTCTGTTCACAAGAATGCCAAAGCTGCATGCCTGGAGTCTGTGATCCTATGTACCTTGCTCATCTTCAAAGAGTCATGGCTGGTGGAATTTTGACCAGTTCTCAAAAATGTATTTTTTTGGTTGTCATTTCCCTTTGGAAATCCCCTGGCTCGGTGATTTGGAGGATGTGAACTTTCACCAAGTCGCCAGGCCCCAGCGCTGCTGAGAGTTACGTCACGGAGGTTTGGAAGCACCTGCAGCTCTTGGAGACAGGCGTACCCGGGTCTTTCTCTCTTGTTTGCTCTATTTCTCTAGCTCTGTTTGTTCTTGGTTCAACCTTTCCTTCCTTTTCGTTTCCTTCCTTCCTTCCTTTTTGCCTTCCTTTTTGCCTTCCTTTTTTGCCTTCCTTCCTTCCTTCCTTCCTTCCTTCCTTCCTTCCTTCCTTCCTTTTTGCCTTCCTTCCTTCCCTTTTTGCCTTCCTTTTTGCCTTCCTTCCTTCCTTTTTGCCTTCCTTTTTGCCTTCCTTCCTTCCTTTTTGCCTTCCTTTTTGCCTTCCTTCCTTCCTTTTTGCCTTCCTTTTTGCCTTCCTTTTTTGCCTTCCTTTTTTGCCTTCCTTTTTGCCTTCCTTTTTTGCCTTCCTTTTTTGCCATCCTTTTTGCCTTCCTTTTTGCCTTCCTTTTTGCCTTCCTTTTTGCCTTCCTTTTTTGCCTTCCTTTTTGCATTCCTTTTTGCCTTCCTTTTTGCCTTCCTTTTTGCCTTCCTTTCTGCCTTCCTTTTTGCCTTCCTTTTTTGCCTTCCTTTTTTGCCTTCCTTTTTGCCTTCCTTTTTGCCTTCCTTTTTGCCTTCCTTTTTGCCTTCCTTCCTTCCTGTTTTGCCTTCCTTTTTGCCTTCCTTTTTGCCTTCCTTTTTGCCTTCCTTTTTGCCTTCCTTTTTGCCTTCCTTTTTGCCTTCCTTTTTGCCTTCCTTTTTGCCTTCCTTTTTGCCTTCCTTTTTGCCTTCCTTTTTGCCTTCCTTCTTGCCTTCCTTTTTGCCTTCCTTTTTGCCTTCCTTCCTTCCCTCCTTTGCTTGCAGCTGAAGTACGGCGCATGTGCCGTGAGGCGTGGAGCTCATGGTGGGGCTGGTCACCTCCTACGAGCGCAAGATGCAGCTCGCCCTGCGCAACGTCCTGGCCCGCGCCGCCTCCGCGTCCGCGTGCGCCTCCGCTGCCGCTGCCGCCGGGGGCTCGCGCGCGGGCGGCGCCGAGCTGTTCGTACTCCCGGAGGCCTTTCTGCTCCAGGCGTGGGGACGGCCATGTTGACTTCTGTCTGGGGCCCTTCTTCCGCTACGGCCAACAGTTTTAAGTGTAGAGTTCTGTCTGGGGCCCTCCTTCTGCTTTTTCGAGTCGCACAAGTTGTCAGCTCAGGACCGGGACTTGTGTGACTCTTGACTTGTGGCTTTCTGGGACTTGGCCAACTGCAATAGATAAGCCATGTGACGCAAGCTTTGTTGTCAAGGCTTGCCTGTTGGGACTTTCTTGGACTGCAAATTTGGGCTTTCCGCGGGTTTCCGCGTCTTTAAGACCTGAGAAGCTTGCATTTGGCTAACACATTGAGTCTCAATGTGCTTTATCTCAACGTTGGAGTTCCACGATGTCAGGCCAACTTACCTAAAGACTTGAATCACTTGAATCTTTTGCTTCAGATTTGGTGTTCTTTTTGGAGGGCACCCTCTTTGGTAGGTTTCAAGGTAAACCAACAGAGAGCCAATAGTTATGGGGATCCCAGTCCTTGTCTTAGCACGTCTTCTTTTTTTTTGGGTGTTTTTTGCCCCTGGTCGTTTTTGTGTGTTTCAAAGGGAAGCCACAAACACGAAGCATCTTTTTGTTGGGGGGCAGGTCCCGAGTTTTAACTCCTGTCATTTTGAGACAGCGGACACAAAAAAGGGCTCCCCTTTTTTTTGACCCCCCCCATTATTTTTTCGACCCCCCTCCCTTTTTCTAACCCCCCCCACAGTAGCATACCAACCCCCCCCATCTCTTTTTTAACCCCCCCCCCCGCTTGTCTACCCCTTTTCCCTTTATTTGACCACTTCCACAATATCCCCACATTTAACATCGGAACCATCATTTTTGTTGACCCCCCTTATTTATCATACTAACCACCCCATCTCTTTTTCACCCCCCCCCCCCCGCGTGGTCTACCCCTTTCCTTTTTTTGACAGCCTCCACCACATCCTACATTTATTTTAACCCCGGAACCATCATTTTTTTGACCCCCTTATTTATCATACCAACCCCCCCCATCTCTTTTTTGACCCCCCCCCCCCCGCGTGGTCTACCCCTTTCCTTTTTTTGACAGCCTCCACCATATCCCTACATTTATTTTAACCCCGGAACCATCATTTTTTGGACCCCCCCTTATTTATCATACAACCCCCCCCATCTCTTTTTTAACCCCCCCCCCCCTGGGAACCATCATTTTTTTGACCCCCCCCCCCCTCCCCTCTTATTTATCATACAAACCCCTCCCCCCCATCTCTGTTTTGACCCCCCCCCCCCCATCGTCTACCCCTTTACCCTTTTTTGACAACCTCCGCCATATCCCTACATTTATTTTAGCCCCGGAACTATAATTTTTTTGACCCCCCTATTTATCATACCACCCCCCCCCATCTTTTTTAACCCCCCTCACCCGTCTACCCCTTTACCTGTTTTTGACAACCTCCACCATTTATATTAACCCCGGAACCATCATTTGTTTGACCCCCCCCCTTAATTCTCATACCAACCCCTCCATCTCTTTTTTAACCCCCCCCCCCCCTCCCCCCGGGAACCATCATTTTTTTGAACCCCCCCCGCCCCCCCCCCCTCCTTTTTAT